AGGGCCGCTGGCGTCCGACTGGATTCGGACTGTAGGGGCCGCCAGGGAGGACCGAGGTGGCGACTCCTGCCGCGACCTCCGCTGCAGGGCAGGCAAGGCTGCCTCCAGCGGCCGCAGCCGCTCCTGCAGGGACGTCGCCCTCGGTGTCCCCAACCGGCTCCGCAAAGAGGCGGACGACGCCACACACCTCGCGGCCCACGAGCACATATCCGACGGCCGCAAGCCCTGGGGCGCCGAGGGTGGTGACCGGGACGTGCAGCCGCTCGACTCCCTCGACACCAACCTGTGCATTTCTCATGCCCCCGACTCCCGATCCACGACCTTCACCTCCATCCTCGATGACATCGGCCGCAGTCAATGTCGTCGCCGTTGGAGGTGCCCAAGAAACCGCAGACCCTGGTGCAACGTCGGAGCGCCCAGGCACGTTCGCGCTGCCGCTGGCCGCTGCTCGGGCCAGGACGGCTCTTGAGAGGAAAAGGAGGAGGAGGAGGCGGAGGAGGAGGGGAGGGAAGAGGAGCGCACGCAGCTGAGGGAGAGGGAAGAGGATGAGGACGAGGATGAGCAGGAGAGTGGGGGCACCGTGCGGCGGCGCGGGGATCCCGGTGCCCATGGCCGACTACGTCTTCCTGCTGGCCTAGGCCACGTTCCCAGGTGAGCCGCGCTGTAGATAGGCCCTCGCCGGCGCAGCTCCTCGCCCCTCGGGCGGCCGCTACTTGGTGACTGGGCACTCTGGCCAGGCACCAGGCAGCGGCTGCTCCTGGGGGGTCGGTGCCGCGCACTGGGGGGGGTGCGGCGGCACCAGTGCTTCCGGACCGCGGTCCGTCGGAGGAGGAGGAAGAGGAGGAGAAAGAGGAGAAGGAGGAGGAGAAGGAGGAGGAGGAGCATGGAGCATGGATTGGCCAGCCTCCAGAGAAGCAGGTCGGAGAAGAGAAAGGGTGAAACAACAGTGCAGGCAACAGGCATGGAAGAAGGGCAAGCATGTGGGCGAATGCGCCCGAGCGTGGAACATACCCGCAGTATTGCCAATCCGGTCGGACAAGGTCCAGCAGAGGAGGAGAAGGAGGAGGAGGAGAAGGAGGAGGATCCCGTCGGCTTACCAAGCCTGAAGGTGGTGAGTTGTTTTATATGATGTTTCATGTCTTGTTAAGGTTGTTTTGGAGAGAAAAAAACCTGAAGGGTGGTTCGTCCTGTCGGCTTACAGAGCCGCTGGAGGGGCCGGGGGCTCGCGCTGCCTGTAGCGGTGCCCTGTCTGGGAGAGCACCGACCACCAAAGGCATGAAAGCATGGATACGTGTGGGGGACGAGCAGGGGAGCAAACAATGACATGTACATACACTTTCGGAGGTCCGCGCCCATCCGAAAAATCCGCGCGAACCTCCGAACGCTTATGTCGATTTCCCAAACAGTGCTTGCACTTGGGGGTTCTTACTTCGGTTCTAAGGAAATGGGCCTGGTCGGTCTGGCGGCTATGTCGCCGACGTCGCTGCCTCGTCGCCGCCCGTCTGTGTCTGAAGATCGGTCTGGCGGCAATGTCGCCGCCGTCGCCATTGCGTCGCCGACTCGTCATCGCCCGTCGCTTTGCACCAGGCAAAGTGCTCCACACAGTTGCACAAGATGGATTCTCCTTTCTAACACAAGCAGAAAAATATGCGCCCACACTCGTTTATCAAAAATCCTAAACTTCCAAGAACCCGTTGCAATAAATGAAACGAAGTGCACACGCGCGCGTCGTCGCGCGCGCATGCCGAAATCATTCAAAAATCTTCGTTGTCGGAAGGATGTCAAACCGAGCTTCCAACACAAAGCATACAAAAACACAGGGTTTCGCAACACTGATTTGCAAAAAAAAAAAAAAAAAAAAAAAAAAAAACTTACGCGCGCTCTTGCGAAATCTGGAGGAAAAAACCATAGATTTTTCCAGATGTTCAAGAAATGCTACCAAGCGGGCTTCGAGCGCGCGCATGTCGAAATCGTTCGAACGCCCTTTCCCGCGTGCCGTCGCGAGAACCCTCCGCAACAAAAAGGGACGAAATGCGCACGCGCGCGTCGTCGCGCGCGCATGCCGAAATCCTTCAAAAACTTACGGCTCCGGAAGGAATTCAAAGTCGAGTGTCCAAAAACATAAACAAACTCAAGGTTTCGCACACGGCTTTTCAACAAAAGCGTGCGCGCGCGCCCTTGCGTCGTCGTCGACGCCGTCGTCGCCGTCCTTCCTCCTCCCTCGTCGTCTTCGTCGTCGTCGTCGCCGTCGCCGTCGTCGTCCTCTGTCTTTCCTCGTCGTCGTCGTCGTTTCCGTCGTCGTTGTCGGCGTGGCCGTCCTTCCTCCCACGTCGTTTTCGTCGGCGTTTCGTCGTTGTCCCTCCTATTTCGTCGCCGTCGTCGTCGTCGTCATCGTTTTCCCTCCTCCCTCGTCAATGTCGTCGTCGGCGTCGCCGTCCTCCCTCCTTCTTTGTCGTTCGCGTCGTCGCCGTCCTCCCTCCTCCCGCGTCGTTGTCGTCGTTGCCGCCGTCGTCGTCCCCCCTCCTCCCTTGTCGTCGTCGTCTTCGTTGGCGACGTCGTCGTCGTCGTCGGCGTCGTCGTCGTCGGCGTCGTCGTCGTCGCGCGCGCATGCCGAAACCCTTCAAAAACGTTCGATTTCAAAAGGAACTCAAAACCGAGTGCCCAAAAACACACACAAACACAAGGTTTCGCAGCACAGCTGTTCAACAAAAGCGTGCGCGCGCGCTCTTGCGTCGTCATCGTCGTCGTCGTCGTCGCCGTCCTCCCTCCTCCCTCGTCGTCGTCGTCGTCGCCGTTGTCGCCCTCTGTCGTTCCTCGTCGTCGTCGTCGTCGTCGTCGTCTTGGCGTCGTCGTCGTTTCCGTCGTCGTTGTCGCCGTGGTCGTCCTTCCTCCCTCGTCTTCGTCGGCGTTTCGTCGTTGTCCCTCCTGTTTCGCCGCCGTCGTCGTCGTTGTCGCCGTCGTCCCTCGTCCCTCGTCGTTGTCGTCGTCGCCATCGGCGTCCTCTCTCCTCCCTCGTCGTCGCCGCCTTCGTTGGCGACGTCGTCGTCGTCTTCGTCGTCGCCGTCGTTGTCGTCGGCGTCGTCGTCGTCGGCGTCGTCGTCGTCGGCGTTGTCATCGTCGCCGTCGTCGCTGTCAGCATCGGCGTCGTCAGCGTCGTCGTCGGTGTTGTCGTCGTCGTCGTTGCCGTCGTCGCCGACGTCGTTGGAGACTCGCCCGCAACGTCTACCGTTGTCGACGGTACCATGATACCGCGCCCGCCGAAGTCGCCGATTCGCAATGAAGTGCCCGCTGGTATATGCCCAACGATCAGCGCCACCGCGGCCGTGTCGGCCGCGCCAAACCAGCTGGCCGCTGCGCGCGCGTGCTTGGGTTGGCGCGGCCGCAGACACGCACCAGCCAACGCCGAGCATGCATCGCAATCGCCACCCTATGGGTTGTGCAAACCAAGTTACGGGTGGGTGGGTGGGATGTTTGCACGAGCACGGGATGTGTCAACTCGTTTGTTAAAATCAATGGCACCACATAGACTGCACCACACATACAGCAGCACATAGATAGCACAACATAGATTGCTCCACTGAGATTGGTCTAGATATAGTGTACAACATTGGTTGCACCACATAGGTTGAACCAAATAGGTTGCACTACATAGATTGGATAAAAAAAAATACTGGTCTACAAAGTTTTCACCGATTGGTCCACACAGACTGCGCAGCAAGTATTTCACAACAGAGTCTGTACCAGACAGCACCACATAGATTGCACAACCTATATTGCTTCACATGGGCTCGCAACATATATCGCACTATAAAGATTGCCCCAAATAGATTGCACAACAGAAATTGCACTTCATACATTGCACCTTAACGATTGCACCACATAGGTTGCACAACATGCATTGCGCCACATGGTTTGCACCACATAAGTTACAAAATAGATGACAAACATAGACAGCACCACAATTATTGCACCGCTTAGGTTGCACAACGTAGATTGCACCACATCGGTTGTTCCAAATGTCGAATAAATAAACACCTATATATATATACGTGTGTATATATGTACTGCTTCACATATATTGCTAGAAGCACACGATGTGGGCTCCACGCTGGCTACCATGTCATTGCTTGATCCCCGAGCGTGGAGGAAGAGGACGCCGACGGCCAGAAGGGAGAAGTGCTGGGCGGCGGGAGGCGAGAGAGCCGGACAGCAAACGGGCCTACGGACCGACGCTGACGGCGCGCCGCCACCTGGGAACTTCCATTACAAAGGCAAGAGGCAGTCCCTGCTAACACAAGGCTAGCGGGGGAAACAGCGGGGCCAAAGGGTTGTCCAACATCTGGCACCCATTCACTTGGTGAACTAGCTTACCCCACGAAACACGACGCCCATTTATCGCAAGCGAGGCGCGCATCACCGCAACTACAGATATCGAGCACAATGGAATTATCATCCTGCTCCAGAACAGCCCACACGCAGGCACTCGACGAAGGGCAGTGAGGTGGGTGAACAACTGCACAGTATGACAAAATACCCTGGTTGAGAATGGTCAGCACGTGCATCCGGGACGGATCGGAGAGCATGGTGTTACCCGCCAGCATCGCAGAATTACGGTCATTGCCCTTCCGAGTCGGCTCTGAGGGTCCCGCTTGAGCAGACTCGCGCGCGCTCTGTCTCTCTCCCTTCCTCCCTCCCTTCCCTCCCTCTCTCTTCCATCCTCTCTCCCTCACTCCCTCCCTCTCTCGCGGCAGCAGAACCCCCAGAGTCCAATGGAGGGCCCGCCGCCTTTGCGGACCGCGCCACACCCGGCGTGGTATCCCTCTCTTCCTCCCTCCCTCCCTCCCTTCTCCCTCTCTCCCTCCCTCCCTCCCTCTCCCTCTCCCTCTCCCTCTCCCTTCCCTCCCTCCCTCCCTCTCCCTCCCTCCCAGTCTCCCACCCTCCCTCCCTCTCTCTCCCTCCCTCCATCCCTCCATCCCTGTCCATCCCTCACTGCCTTTTTTACTCGCCCGACACGCCCCGCGCCCGCCCGCCGCCACCGCCGCCAGCAGCAGCACACGGCAGCGGCTGGCCCTCGTGCGCCCGGCAAGCCGAAAAGAACGCCCCGCGCGCCACCGCCGCCGACCGGCAGGCCCCCAGCTGATGGCGCCCAGGCCCCCAGCTGATGACAGGGGGGAGGAGGAGGAGGAGGAGGAGGAGGAGGAGGAGGAGGAGGAGGAGGAGGAGGAGGAGGAGGAGGAGGAGAGAGAGGAGGAGGAGGAGGAGGAAGAGGAGGAGGCGACGGCAGGAGGAGGAGGAGAGGAGGAGTGAGGAGAGGAGGAGAGTAGGGGAAGGAGGAGGAAGGAGGAGGAGGATGAGGAGGAGGTAGGGGGTAGAGGGGGGAGGAGGAATGAGGAGGCGGAGGCGGAGAGGGGCGCGGAGGAGGAGGGAGGGAGGGAGGAGGGGAGGGGGGAGGAGGAGGAGAAAGAGGAGGGGGAGGGATGAGGAAAGCGCAGGAGGAGCAAGGAGGAGTAGGAGGGGAGGGGAGGGAGGGCGCTGTAGTGATGCACCGGGGGCGGCGGCGTGGGCGGGTCTGGAAGGCTGTCGGCTGCGGCGTGTGCGGGTGTGGGGAGGAGGAGGAGGAGGAGGAGGAGCGGGTCGGCGAAGCCCAGCTGATGGCGGTGTCGGCCACGGCCGCGGCGGCGCGGTCGCCGACGGAAACGCCCGCCAGTCACGGCGGCGTCGGCCACGGCGGCGTCGGCCGCGGCGCCGAAGACCGCGGCGGCATTGGCCGCGGCGGCGTCGGCCACGGCGCTGATGGCCTCGGCGGCGGCGCCGATGCGGCTGCGCCTGGCTTAGCTGGGTGAAGCCGCGCCTATGAGCTCAGCTGCGCCCGCTTCGAACTCGAATGGCCTTCTGAGAGAGAACATATTCACACCGAGGGCGATGATGAGCACCCCACACGAGAACAAAGCACACTGTCCACCCTGCTCCAACAACTCGGCATACTCGCGATAGAAGATGAGCCCGTAGAGCGTGCAGCTG